TCTCTATTGCCTGGAGTTTTCGATGGTACTGGTTATAGATCCTGGAGGAGAGCTGTTCTTAGGGCCTTGTCAGTTAAGAGCAAGACAGGTTTTATCAATGGGAAGGTTGTAAAACCAAATCCATATTATCCTAGCTTCCAGCAGTGGGAGAGGTGTGATGATATGGTAACCTCTTGGATTCTGAATTCCTTGTCACCAGATCTAAGGGATAGTCTGCAGTACGTTAACAATGCACAAGAATTGTGGGCTGAATTGGAAGAAAGGTATGATCAGACTAATGGCTGTAAGCTATACCAGCTTCAAAAGGAGCTAAATGATCTTGTCCAAGGCACCTTGGATGTTACTGGATACTACACAAAGATGAAGAAACTTTGGGAAGATATGAGCATTGTCGATGTAAGCTCTCAATGTAGTTGTGTTTGCACTTGTGGTGGTAAGATAATGTTGGTCAAAACTGAACAAGATAGAAGACTCATACAATTCTTGATGGGACTGAATGAAATTTACACTGTCATCAGAGGAAACATTCTCATGATGAGTACCCTTCCTAGTATGGCACAAACTTTTGCCATTTTGTCTCAAGAGGAAAAACAGAGGGAAGTAAGACCTCACACCCACACAGCTTTGGACTCAACTTCACTGAATGCTCTTGCTAGTAGTACAAGATCTAAGGGAGGCCCCAGAACAAACTACAATTTCTCTAAAGGGAGCACATGAGTCTCTGGGAATTTGAATAACACAAATGTGTTTAGAGGTAATTCTAGCACCAGCAGAAGTTCCTTGTTTTGTGATTTCTGCAGGAGAACAGGTCACACAAGAGAAAGATGCTACAAACTTCATGGATATCCATCCAACTCGAAGTTTTCCAAGGGGAAGAGTGCTGGTTCTGCAGCAAATATGTGCACCTATGAGAATGATAGAAACCACTGTGAAGAGAACCCTGAGTTGAGGAAACAAATGCCTTTGAACTTGTCCAAAGATCAGTATGAACAACTGCTCAATCTTTTGGGATCCCTGCAGGTTGGACATAGAGCTCTTAACTCGGACAACATGCTAAGTGGAGCTGTGAATCTGGCAGGTATACTTGCTTGTTACTCTTCCATTACTGAGATAGGTGATCTTTCTTGTAGATGTGTAAAATTAACTGCTGACTCTTGGATCATAGACTCGGGAGCATCACATCACATGACCTACAATAAAAACACTCTTACAAGCATTAGACCATTACCATATCCTTTCCTTATCAGCTTACCAAATGGTTACAAAGTTAAAGTGACTGAAATTGGTGATGTTTGTTTAAGTCCAGTTTTAACTCTGCAGAAAGTGCTTTTTGTTCCTAGTTTCAAGTTTAATCTAATATCAGTTCATTGTCTAGCATTTCAACTCAAAGGTGTGGTCAGTTTTAACAGCATTTCTTGTTTGTTGCAGGGCCCTTCTCTGAAGAGCCCTCTGGAACTTGGTAGAGCCAAGAATGGTCTATATTTCTATGTTCAAGTGCCACAACTGTTGTTCATTGTCTACTGGGAGCAAGAGACCTCATGTCATTTCCAGTCATTGTACTTTTGTTCCTTCTTTAGCTAAGTGTCATGAAGTTTCAGTCCCACCTACTGTAACACATTCTTCTGTTGATAATAAAGGTGGTTGTCCTAAACTTGATTTTTCTTCGTCATGCCACATTACTGATTGTTCTTCTTTTGTTGTTAAATCTGATAACTCTCATATAGATGAACTCTTATGGCATGCTAGACTAGGTCATGTACCTTTTGTAAAGATGAAAAGTATTCCAACTATACCCATTCCTTTCTCTACCAAACAACCTTTCATTTGTGCCATATGCCCTATGGCTAGACAATCTAGAATGCCATTCCCAGAAAGCACAACCACCACTAGTAAAGTTTTTGAGCTGCTTCACGTTGACCTATGGGGACCATATCACATCCCTACTCATGATGGTTATCACTATTTCTTGACCATGGTAGATGATTTTACTAGATCAACTTGGACACAACTACTACGGTGTAAAAGTAATGCCCTACAAACTATTAAGGCTTTCATATCTCTTGTGGAGAATCAAGTCCAGACCAAATTTAAAAGTATCAGGTCTGATAATGGTATGGAATTCACTTCTATTGAGGCCACACATTTTTTCCAAACAAAGGGAATAATACACCAAAAATCTTGTCCATATACACCTCAACAAAATGGCATAGTTGAAAGAAAACACAAATACCTCCTTGAAACAGCAAGAGCCCTCTTATTTCAGTCTAAATTACCCATGAGGTACTGAGGAGAATGTGTATTAACAGCCACACACCTCATTAACAGACTACCTTCTAAACCTTTAAACAATAAAACTCCCTATGAACTGTTATACCATACACCACCCACATACTCTCATATAAGAAGTTTTGGTTGTCTATGCTTTCCCACTACTTTGAAAACTCACAAGGATAAGTTTGAACCAAGGGCAACACCACATATATTTGTTGGATATCCATTCAATACAAAGGGATACAAGGTATTAGATCTAGCAACCAAGAGAGTTCATGTGTCTAGGGATGTTATTTTTCATGAGTCTGTGTTTCCTTTTGTACTTGCTCGATGGTTCCAGTTTTCCTTCTATTTTAAAGCTTCTAGTTCATCACTCAAATACTTCTACTTATACTTCAAATCCAACAAGCATGTTTTCTGATGATGAATTACTGGACCCTAACGTATCACATACTGTCACTACAAATCAAATAATCAACAATACTGATGAAAACACAACCTCACCTGCAGACCATGATATCCATCCACCCACCTCCACATCTTGTGATGCTATACCTGCCCTTAGAAGAACAACTAGATCACTTCACACTCCCACTTACTTGAAGGAATACAATTACAGTCTTCCTAACCTACATTCAACCATACACACTTCTAGTCCACACCATTCCCTCACCTCTTTTGTATACAACCATGACAGTGTTTGCTTCACAACTTTATGTTCTGATAGTCAACAGTTAATTGAAAACATGTCACATGATTGTGAACCTTCCTCATATGAAGAAGCAATCTTGCATCCTGCCTGGCAAAAGGCAATGACACAAGAATTTGAAGCATTGTATGCGAATAACACTTGGGAACTGGTCCCCTTACCCAAAGGAAAGAATGATATTGGTTGTAAATGGGTCTACAAAATCAAACACAAAGCAGATGGTAGTGTGGAGAGGTTCAAGGCAAGGCTAGTGGTTAAGGGGTACACTCAACAAGCTGGAATAGACTATAATGAGACTTTTCTCCTGTGGTCAAGATGACCACTGTTAGGACTCTCATAACCTTGGCTGTTAAGAGGAGGTGGAGTCTTTATCAATTGGATGTCAATAATGCTTTCCTTCATGGTGATTTGAATGAGGAAGTGTATATGACATTACCACAAGGTCTTGCAGTGAACAGTCAAAATATGGTGTGCAGATTGCAGAAATCATTGTATGGCTTGAAGCAGGCCAGTAGACAATGGTATGAAAAATTGGCCAGCAGTCTTTGTTCAAGAGGGTACATACATTCAGATAGTGATTACTCACTGTTTCTTAAGAGAAAAGGAGATTCTTTAGTGTTTGTTGCCATATATGTAGATGATGTGATCTTAACTGGAACTGACTTGGAGGAAATCAACTCTTTGAAATCCTTTTTACATGATCAGTTCAAGATAAAAGATCTAGGTAGATTGCACTACTTCTTGGGGTTAGAGATATTGTACATGCTTGATGGAGTTCTTATTTCACAAAGGAAATTCACCACTGACCTCTTGAAGGAGTTTGATTCTTTCAACTGTAAAATTGCAACCTCACCACTTGATTATACTGAGAAATTGAAGGCAACAGATGGGGAATTATTGTCTGATCCTACCCATTACAGGAAGTTGATAGGGAAACTCAATTTTCTTACAAATACTAGGATGGATATAGCTTATAGTGTGCAGCATCTCAGTCAATTCATGCAAACTCCTAGGGGAACCACACTTGAAGGCTGGTTATCATGTTCTGAGATATTTGAAACAAGATCCTACAATGGGAATTTTCATCTCGAACAAGCCTGATCTTACTGTAAATGCCTATTGTGACTCAGACTGGGCTGCCTGTCCTGATTCAAGGAAGTCAGTCAGTGGTTATCTAGTACTTATGGGTGATAGCCCTATCAGCTAGAAGTCTAAGAAACAAGCCACAGTTTCTTTATCCTCTGCAGAAGCAGAATACAGGGCTGTGAGACAAGTAGTAGGTGAGCTGTTATGGTTTTGAAAGGTTACTGAAAGAGTTATCTGTGAATTGCTCCTTGCCAATTCAGGTCTTCTGTGACAGTCAAGCTGCAGTACACATTGCCAAAAATCCAGTCTTCCATGAAAGGACAAAACACATAGAAATCGATTGCCACTCTGTTTTAATTCTGTTAGTTAGTCTATCTATATATATAGATTCAGATGTAATAGTTACTTACTTTTTAATTCATTTTCAATGAAACAAATCTACATGTAGCTTTTCCAGAATCTTCTTCTTCTTCCTCCTTTCTCATGTGAACTCAAGGTTCATCAATGGAGGAGTTTGATTGTTCAATATCACAGTGTGTTGATTTTATCAAGGTCAAATCTAAATCATCCTTGTTCGAAAAATACGCCACTAACGGCCCTCGAATCATAGATAAATCTTAGGAGAGTAGAATCAAGGGAGGAACAGAATTGTACCCGCTATCTTGATGAATAAAGTTATGTTTCTTCAGATTTTATTTGTGTGGTTAATTTATTTTCCATATGTTTAAAATTTGTTACAAACAATGACAACTAAAAGAAAATGGAGGGAGTAGTTTAATAAATGAGATATCTTCGTTTTTAATCAAAGATTTCATGTCCGAGTCTTAAAATTGAAATATTTTTAGTAGAGAATTATTCCATTTTAAATGAACCTTGCACAACATAAAAACCGGGGTAATATGTTCTGAAAACTAAAACGAATGAAAAAAATAGTTAATTGTAAACTTATACATAAATGGTTTACACGTGACACAAATTTTAAGTAGTCAGTCTATTATATTTCGAATACCAAATGACTAAATAAAACAAGAATCCGTGATGTAACAAACTTATACATGGTTATTTCTTGGAACTCTTCAATTCTATCAATAGGTACTCTCAAACTAAACAACACTCCAAGTAATTGAAATGTATGGCACGTTTTACAATTTTAAAAAAATTCATGATTCATGACAAGTGGATCTCCTCTTAAATTTTGGTTCGAGCTAGCTAGTTAATTAGTTTGATGTTACGTAACTGCGTGATTTTAATTTTCTTTTGTTAGGTAATAACATATACATATACTTGTTAGATTTGAAAGCTCACAGTATTTAAACACCAAGAACATGCATGGTGGTTGATCTTGGTCCCATGGGGTGTTGTTTATATTGTTGCATTGAACAATCATAGTTCAAAGTGTGTGTGTGGTTGCTAGTAGTTGCAACTCTCTCCTTCCCCCCACTTTGAGTCACCTAGCATTAGTCACATCTTCACTTCTGTCCCCAAACCTCCCCACCATCACCCCATAATTACGATAACGTTTTAATTTATACATGATCAAAAACATATTCAAAATTTAAATTTTACGAGTATAATTTATAAAATTCTTAGCATTTTAAGTTATGAATTCAGATATCATCTATCTTTGTAGTTTGTACATATAGTTAGCGCA